GAAAGCATGCAATTGCATTCAAAATATTTAATTGAAGCCATAATATTGTTCAAAGTCTTTAGATTTCGGCACTAAATAACTTGTAGCGGCTGATATGCCACAAAAGAAATTCAGATTAACAACAATTATGAAAGAAAACTTTTATGATATTAATGCATATAATATCCTACAATTTCTTAAAGAAATCAAACTGTATTCCAAAATATAACTTAAACAAAATTACGATATTATATATATATATATATATATATATATATATATATATATATATATATATATATATATATCACCGCATCTAGTAATTATGCCCACATAAACATGTATATGCACAAAAGCTGAGTATTATCTACCATGTATTCGATTGTGAAAGTAGAATAACATATATATTTTTATTACTTCAAAGCCCACTCCGAAATTAAATTCCAACATTAAATAACCCATAAGGAGTTGATTTATCGTTAAACAAACAAATCAAATTAAATCAACCATGTGTGGGTTTGCATTAGGTGAAATTTTACATACATATATATATATATATATATATATATACACTTATTTTGCTCTACTTAGCGTATTGAGCACAATGTTTAGTTATTTTACTTTACTCGTGTCGGAGGTTTTTTCTGTGGACTCTGAACTTAGATTCTATACAATTATTCTCACCGGAAGTATATGTTCTTAGTTCTTTCTTTTTTTACCCATTTTTTCCCTTGGGTATTGGTTTGTTCATTCACAAGCTAAAACACCTAAGGTTTTTCGGACGAGTCTAGCTGTTTACATTTATAAGTTTATTAGTGTTATATATATATATATATATATATATATATATATATATATATATATATATATATATATATATATATATATATATATATATGTATCATCAACCAAGAAAAGTCCTAAAATACATCTCGGTTATAATTTATTTCAAGAATATTTTTATATTCTTCTCTTCGGACCGAAAGATTTAAAAAAAAAATGGAATCAATCCATCGCGACAGATAGAAAAAAAAAGGGGAAAGGAAAAGAGAAAAAGAAAATAAAGTAATAATACAAAATAGGAAGGAAGAAAAATAAAAATTTCAAATATAAATATTTTTTAAAAATTAAGGGAAGGAAGAAAGAGATAGAGAGAGGGGGAAGAGAGGGGGGAGAGAGGGGAAGGAGGGAGAGAGAAAGAGTGAAAGAAAAGAAAGGAAAGAAGGAAGAAATAAATGTTGAGTCAATAGCATAAATAAAATAGAATGACCTAGAAAAAATTTAATCCTTAAAAGGCTGAACAAGATAATATACTGGGTAAGGGTGGGGGTGATCAGAATTAAAGAGTTGCGCCAAAATGTCTAATAGAGTCATGTCATTTTAGACAGCAATCATCATCATCATCGCATAATAATAATCATCACAATTTTAAACTGATAATAATAATAATAATGATAAATATAATATCCAACAGAAAATGTGAATACAGGTACACACATGTATTATTACCCATATAAAAAAGAATCAACACTTCAAGTGTATATCCCCCAAAGTTAATATCTTTAGGGAATTTTAAATTTGCATGGATTTTTAATGTTTTTCTTCAATTTTTATTTTATTTACTCTGTAACATACAATGAGCTCACTTTGGATGAAATTGGTATTTATATATATATATATATATATATATATATATATGAAGAAAAATTTGGAAAAAAACAAACAAAAATCCTTAAATGCAGTTATGTTGTTTAAAATGAATGAAATGTCGACGTCTGACGTTTCGGTTTAATAAACCTTTTTCAAGACAATATTCATTAAAATACAATTCAGTTCAATTTGACAAAGACGATGGACATAAACAACAAGTCTTATCCAAAACAGATAACTGAAATTTTTAAAATGATCAGCTTTCCGTTTAGCATGGTCACGTTGTCGCCACATGGGCGACGCTTTCAAAAACGTATTCCTAAAAATTTTGATTATTTTGAATGAAAAAGAAAATGAAAAGAATTCTATTAGGATCTAAAATTTGTATGTGTATGCTTGTTATATGTATATATAAATGTGTAATATCTAAAAAAAAAAAAACACTAAACTAATTGAGTTTTTTCCAGGTTTTCAGACAAGGCATTTAGCCATCTTGACACTATTTTTTGTCAGAATCACTGAAAAACCCTTTGTGTTATTCAGCAAGAAAGAGAACAGGCTAAAATCGTTTTGTGTCAGTACAACTATGTATTCTCAACTGAGCAATGGAGAGACGAAAAAGATCATTCAGGCCTTCAGTAACGATACCAACATTCCTACTCTTGCCTCCATTATCAAAGTTCATTAAAGAACTATCAAGAAAACGGTGAATAAATTTAAAAAGAGGGAACAGTAGAAAGAGAAAAACTGAATCAGGAGATCGCAACAGCAAGAGGGATCATCATTTCAACTTAAAGCTAAATACATTCTTATTGTTCAAAGTAGAGTCCAATAGTTTTATAAAATCCTCGGATAATTCCAGTAAGATATCTCTAATTATTTCTGAGATACAACGGTTCAAATCTTAATCTAACAATTGACAACTGAACAATTTTGCTGTTGGACGTTCTGGACAATTTTTATATATATATTATTTATATATTATATATACGCGGTACTTATTGGAAAGCGCTCAATATCAGTGATAGAGCTAACATATTTATTTGGACTGCTGTATTTTTGTGACCCTGGGTTTTATGCGTTTTGCGATCGTCAGACACTGATTGTTTTGAAATTTTGGATTTATTTATGGTTGCGTATATCGGTGTTTTAAAACGCAGGTTCACAAACTCACATCACGCCAACCAACTATATATATATATATATATATATATATATATATATAATGAAAGAACAGTAAGATATATAATCCGGTGTTCTTATAGATGTTTTATTTTACAAAATAGTGCTCAATATAAATTTACAGAGCATTAATATATTAAAAAAAAACATATTTTAAATCAATTAATTTATAATATATATATATATATATATATATATATATATATATATATATATATATATAATAAAAATGCTTAAAAACTAATATTCCATGGTCATAATTTATTCCATTGGAATCGTAAATACGATCCAAATCATCAGACCTACAAATTCAAAATTTGGATCGTATTTACGATTCCAATGGAATAAATTATGACCATGGAATATTAGTGTTTACTTCTTTTATTATATCCTTACTCTGTCCTAGACATTGAGTTCTACCTGGATCCTTCCTCTTGGAAAAATTTTTTCTGAAAATATACATGTATGGACATTTTTTATATATATTTTGCATATGTATGTATATTTTCCACTAATATTATCTATCTCTCTCTCTCTCTATATATATATATATATATATGGAAGGATGTGTGTATTCTTCCGTTTAGTAAATTACTGCACTTATGGCAGATGATGCTAAAATCGCAGTCTATTCTAAATAGATTTTCCACACTGAGCTGCCTGTTAGTCGCTGGCCCCTATCAGAAGCTCGTCTGCTCTCTATCAACACTCTTCAGGACGGCTTGAATTCAGGGTGTTTTCCGACATTTGTACTAATTTAAAAAAAAAAACCATAAAAAATATATACAAAGAATATGAATATGTTGCTCATCATCATCATCATCATCATCTATATATATATATATATATATATATATATATATATATATATATAGTTGGATTGATGTGAGTTTGTGACCTTGGGTTTCACGCTATTTGCGATCGTCAGACAAACTGATTAATTTTTGAATTTTGGATTTATATATGGTTGCGTATATCGTTGTTTTATGAAAGTGGAAGGAAAAACTGTCGTCGGAACGCCACTCATACTTACGCAAACATACATACACGCACATACACTCATTGACATACGTAGACAACAAACACACGCATGCTCATTAAAAGCAGTAAAATCGACATTGCCAATCGAACGATTCTCCGTGGCTCGATCGGTTAAAGCACGTCAGGCTAAATGACGGTTCCGTATAGGATACAGGTTCGATTCCTGTCGAAAAACGCATATTTTGTATGAAAATTTCTCGGACATTCAGGCCGGTAAATGTTATTAATAATGTTTATTATAAAAAACAGAACATTTACTTAAATATTTGTATCTATAAAAATAATGTATAAACATAAAAATGTATATATATATATATATATATATATATGAATGGAGGCTTCAGTCATTACTAATTTATTACCGAACAACGTGTACTAATGTATTACCCTACACTGCTATCTCTCTCCACCATAGTACAATATCCTTTATAGGTGCACTGGTACAACGGACATATAACGTTGAAACATCGGTATCCGTACGATCACCGAAGTTAAGCAATGTCGAACTTGGTCAGTATCTAGATGGTTGATCGCTTGAGAACATCAGGTACTGTAAGCTTGGATGAATGGGTAGTATGCATTACATTCATATCACGTTCAAACACGGGGTCTCGTACGGTCACCGAAGTTAAGCAATGTCGAATCTGGTCGATACTAGATGGGTAACCGCTTGTGAATACTAGGTTCCTGTAAGCTTACAGGCTTATCACGTTAAAACTCGCACGATCACCAAAGTTGAGATGGGTGACCGCTTGGGAATAAAAGGTTCTGTAAACTTGGATGAGCGGGTAGTATGCATTACGGTCATATCACGTTGCAACAATGGTTCTCGTACGATCACCGAAGTTAAGCAATGTCGAACCTGGTCAGTGTCAAGATGGTGATCGCTTGAGAATACCAGGTGCTGTAAACTTAGATGAGCGGGTAGTATTCATTACATTCATATCACGTTCAAATACATACGATCACTGAAGTTAAGCAATGTCGAACCCGGTCGATACTAGATGGGTAACCGCAGAATACTAGGTGCTGTACGCTTACAGGCATATCACGTTAATACTCGCACGATCACCAAAGTTGAGCAACTAGATGGGTGACCGCTTGGAAATATCAGGTTCTGTAAACTTGGATGAGCGGGTAGTATGCAT